AATTAACCACTAAGAAGAATATATGCAGTGTATTATTTGTTGAAACTGTACTTCCGATTGGATTTGAAACTGTCTCATTGCTCTCTGTTTATCAATAAAACTTTGAAAAAAAATAAATTAAAAAAAAAAAATACGGGGCTTAAGGAAAACAGCAATGAATGAGAATGACCTCGATGCCTCTCCCTGGGCCATCCTGCTCTGCCCAGAGTACTATGGAGGGACCCACAATCTCAGAGCCAACCCAGCCCTGAAAGGATTGTTTCAGAACAAAAGTGTACAGCTGCTGCTCTTCCAACAGGATGTCAGGAGAATCAGTGCAAATAGACAAGGTGAAGCTAACTGATTTGGGGAGAGAGGAATAAAGCAGGAAAACGTTAACATCATGCATTCAATTGGTACCTATTTCACTTCCCTTGAGTCGGATACTGTTCTATTATTTTAGAGCAGATGAACAGAGACAGAAAGCTTCTGTTCTCCCAGACTGTTCACATTTCACTAACTCCAAAGATTTTCTTTATTCATTATCGTTTTCTGCAAAGCTAGCACTAGTAAGTACTATTGCAAAATCAAATATTTACATAGAAAAGCAAGTTTGAGAATCTATATCTTTTGCACTAATTGGTCCCCTGGGGTTGCTGCCCCTCAGTGGTTGATTTGCTTAGCATCTTTAAGACCCTACCTGACTCAGGACCGAGTCACATACCTTCACTCTGATTTGGAATGAGGCTCCCAAGATGTAAGTAAGGGGAGCCACACTGAGGACACAGCCTAGGGGCCTGGGGTCCGTTTTGTGCTGAGTTCTAACATCTAATCCCACCCCTGCTGCACTACTCGGACTGTGAAGGAGTCTAGGATCCAATTGGTACCTGGGCCTCCCAGTAGGAGGGGCCCTGCAGAAAAGCACCCTGAGGGCTTATGCGGGGCTTGTTCCCAAGGGACACTTCGAGCCCCTTCAAAAGTGAACCCCACTTCTTGTGTGAGACCTAGTAGCTTGTCTTAGGGTACTCTGATCAAATTGAGTTGAAGTCAAAGATTAGATTCAACGCTGACCTTATGGGGAAATTTGTTTCTGTTGTCAAATTTGGTTTGTGAACCAGAATCATGAAAAGGATTAAGCTTGTGAAGCAAGGTACCAAATGTAAAGGCCTTGGTAGCCAACTGCCATGTGGACCTCGCATGGACAGATTTAAACAAATGAACTGTTAAACAACCACATTTATGAGTTATAAGGGGACATTTAATGGTATGAAAGGATTATGAAACCTTTTGGTGTAATATTACTGTTATGATCTTTAAAAGGCCTACCTTTCAGAGATATACATTACATTACAAATACAGTAAAATCTGTTTAAAAATAACTTGGAAGAGGAGAAAAGGGTCTGGGCACAGTTCAAGTCCTGAGCTGCGCACTATGGAAACAAAGTAAGAGACACCCAGGTTCCTTACACAGATTTCCACAGTGAAGTGCTGTTTGGAGAGTATACGTGAGGAAATTTGGGGTTGGCTCTCCGATTTAGGAAGTCTACTACTGGACTTTACAGCATCACCGCGAGTGCAGGCACTCGCAGGGAGGGCGGGGTGGGGCTGCTCCATCAGCACAGCTGCGCTCAGCTCGCGCCTTCTCGCTCAGTGCAACAGCACATGTGTTCCTGGGCTCCTCGCTCACCTTTGCTAAGGAACGCTGCCCAGTCTACTCCAGGGCAACACGAAGTCCAAGCCTGCACCCTAGGGGCCGTGTTTATGGTCAGATTTGGAACATACAGCAGCTTGCTTCCATAGCAGTCAAAGTCTTCAGCCTCTTATCAAGAAAATGCATGTATCACTATCCCCTGGGCACAAATGGCTACACACAGAATTTCAAATATCATTTCAGGCATGAGATGCTTAGGTACTTCAAGCCCACCTAGACAGTAATAAGTCCTGTTCAGGCTAATGAAAGTCCTTCCTGTGACTTTTTCTATTTTAGCCCATATATCAGAGGAAAGAAATACAGAATTCAAAACACTGTGATTTTCCTATTTCATGTCATATACAAAGAATGAAAAAAAAAAAAAAAAACTTGATTTTGTCCTAGTGAGCATGAACACTTTCCTGTAGACCTAATGAAGGGGCTAGTAAGAAGGGGAAATAATGCTGACTCTAGTAGGTCGATTCACAGCAGGTGAGGGTCCGAAGTTAACACAAAACCTAGGCTTTCTGTGAGAGACGGTATGACTTCGTTCTCTGGGTTCCTTAGATCGCAGTACAAAAGGAAAACTACATCATAGCCTGTTTTTGATACTGAATTTCAAAGGAAAGACCTACAGGGAGGGTTTCCAAGCTTTAAAACTATCATCTTTAAGAAAAGTTCCCAGCATCAGAATTGTGTCCTTCTGCCTTATGCTATGCAGCTGTGGGCAGCTCTCCTCTCCCGCAGAAGCGCCAGTGAACCCAGGAAAAGTCTGGATCCTGAGCAATCTTGGGCAGCTGCCCCCCAAGGAGCTCCACAGCCCTCCCTCCATTGTAAGCAACAGAGGAACAGAATAAGCAGAGGATGGTGTGTAACAGAATGGCAAGCCAGGACCTCTGAATGAATTACCTTCATCAATGTAGGCCTCACTAGTGTGGGCTCATTTACAAATGAGTACATTAAATTTTTATCTAGGTAGGACTGGCCAAATAACTCAGCAGATTAAAGTGCCTGCAAGCAGGCGCAGGAGCCAGGAGTTCAATCCCCAGCCTGCCTTGCTAGCCCTGCCCCTGGGGCACATTAAAACAGCAATTGAGACTGGGCGTGGTGGGGCGTGCCTGTAATCCCAGCTCTTGGGAGGTGAATAGGTGGGTCACTATAAGTCTGATCTAGTAGTGAGACCTTGAACACCCTGTAGACGCTTCCCTAAAAAATTAAAGTAAAATAAATTTTTATCTAAGTAATGCACCAAACCAAAGAATCACCAATCTAACACTGGGTCATAAGTGGTTGATTGTTGTATTTTATAAAGGTATAAGGATAGAGTTTCATGATTTTTACTGAAGTTAGCATTTGTCAGAATATTTATGAAAAATGCTGCAAAAAATATAAAATGTTAATATAATGATATATGATGGCATAAGGAGAAATGATTTCTCCTCATGTATTTTGTTATTCCCAAGATTTCTGTAATAGCAGTGCATCATTTTTCAAACAGAAAAGCTTTACAGTCAGTCATCTTTATTTACTTTTTGTATTTAGTACAGGGTCTATAAGGTCTCACTACACATCAGGCTTGTAGTGATCCTCCCGTTTTTAGCCTCCCAAGTGCTGGGATTACAGACATGCACTACCATGCATGCACAGGTTCAGTCACATCTTAGCGGGGTCGGGGCTGACATGGCAGGCCAGCGATCAAACCCCAGTCCCTGTGCCTGCCTAAGTAGGCACTTTAGTCCACTGAGCTATCTGGTCGGCCCAATCAGTCACCTTTAAAAGTAGACATCACAAGGCCAACACACCGCAAGACAAATAAGTATGAAGATGATACTTTTAAGTACTTTTTAAATTAATAAAGTAACATCTATGAAGTTGGTAAATCTATTCTTTAGTAAAACCAAACTATACCAAAAATCCCAACCCAGGAAAGAGAGGCAGCTCCTGAGCGCGCGAGTGGTACCTGCTCCCTTGCGTGCGAGGTCCAGGCCCCAGGCGGGCTTTGGGGTGGGGATGCCCTCACAGCTTGCAGAACGAGGGGGCAGCAGGGCGGAGCGGGCACTGGCGGGGCGGCACTTAGACAGCCCTAAAATCCAAACCAGAGAGAAAACAGCGATATAGTGCTTTGATTCCTGAAAGCTGAAAAAGTCCTGACAGGTGTTTATAAATTGGCCTTAAAATGGAAATAGCTCAGTCCCAGCAAGATAGTACTAAGAAGAATATGGTCCTAAACCACGAAGGACTCCATTCACTGCTTTTCACAGGCCCCAAAGCCCAAATCTGAGAGTGACCCACAGAGAGAGTACAGCAGCCCGAGGCAGCAGGGACGGGGGGGGCGGCTCATGGCACACAGAAATTGGACCCATGTCACGTATTTTACACCTTATGTTGAACTTTGCACGAAGTTTGCCCGCTTCCCCAAAACTTGATGATGAATTCCATCATAAAATTGACTGAAAAACAGATCACAATAATTTAGGACATACAGAAGAGTTTACCACAGTAGTTTAATAGCCAGCATGACCAGCATTAAGGTGTCATCGTGAGTGCTTAGAGGTCAGCAACACTTAGGGAACTCATCTAAGTCTTCTGGGGTCTGCCATGTGAGTCACTTATGAAAGCCAAAGCAGTCAGTTCCTCTTGGTTTGCAAACACATCTTAGGCCCATATTCTACCTGAAGCCAGTTCATGCTCAGATCCAACCAGCTCTTCTTAAGATTACCAGACAATTAAAAAAAAAAAAAAAAAAAAATGAAGGTCTGGTAAGTAAAACACAAAAAGCAAACCAAGGTGAGTAATGGGCATTTTGTGTTTAATAAA